TTAAAATCTCAATACACGATGAAAAATAATGTATTAAAAAAAAAAAAAAAAGAAATAATAAACAAATGATTTTGAATTTCAAATCAACAAAAATATTAATCGATTCTTTTATCCAACACAGATTTTATTAATAAATTCTATCTGCAAATTATTTTTTTAAAAATTATAATATTTGTTTAAAAAAAATGGCACGTAATTGGTTGACATCTATCTAATCTTTGTAAATATTAAATATATACTTTAATATTTCAAGTTAATACTCAAAAAAATTAGTAAAAAAAAAAATAATTTACAAAAATTGTTATGTTATTGAACAAAAGAAAAAAGAAAAATTATCGATTTGATTATTAATATTAATATTAAGTCTAAACAAAAATCATTGAAAAAGAAAATCATAAACTCCGATCCTGAAACTATTGTTTTTTATAGCTTTCGATAGAGGGCGCTTTATAAATACAAAAAAATTAATGCGTCCAATTTAAATGCTATTTATAACTTTCTACTTATATTACATCATTCAAGTATATATTTCTGCTGTATTAAGAATGCATGAAATAATAAATTGTTAATTAATATATAATACTTTTTATTGGATATATTGTTTTTCACAGAATATTTCTATATGTACATGCAATTTTTGTTATTCGAGAACTGAATGCTTTTTAAAACTACAAGATGAAAACTTATTTACATCTGACAAATGTATTATTAAATTATTATACATACGTAATAAACAATGAGAATGTGAATGCGTGTATAATTCGCATTATATTGCGTAGATTAAAAACTTTCTTGGCCTGTACATAAAATATAAAGAATGTGAAGAAATCGTATTGTACATTTAATTTTTAAGACATAACGTGCGAAAATAAAGAGTATCGATTCATGTATAAGAATCATATTGTGAAAATCACTTAAATACCTACAACAAAAATGTGTCTATCAGTATGTTGTTCTTTATAATAAAATTGAAATAAAAAAATATTATTTATTCTTTATCTATTTCCATTCATTTCAATACAATTGAATATTATTATTAATACAATTAATAAATTTATTTATTTTATTTATTTCTGTTTATCATAAAAACATATTCCTATTTATTGTATTTTATCACAGCAATATATCTATTTTTCATTACATTATAAATTTTGTATGAAAACAATGATTTTATCAAATAAAAATTATTCCTTTAAAACTATTAGAAAAATTTAGGTGCTAAAACAATAGGAAAAAATATAAATATCGATTAACAATTATATTCTCTTTAAAATTTATAATTAATTATTATTTATTATTTAAAATAAACTTTTCCATATATTTTGTATCATATTTACATTTTACATTTCGTGTATTAAATGTACTATTATTAAAACAATTTAGAGAACAGATCACTATGATCTCATTCTTTTCTCTTTGGTGCGTAATTATTTATTTCTGTGTATAATACAACAGAAATTATTGAAAAATGCATGGCAGAAAACATTATTTTACAACAAATAAGTTTAGAAAATTCACCACCTAATACAATTTTTGTACTCCTCAACTATACTGAATCTTTTAATAGTTTCATATCCTAGAATTATTGAGAAACTAAAACTAGCAGACTGTACAAGACGGGCGGAAAGTCCCTTTGTAAACATCTGCAACTTTTCTTCCACCCAGAGAACTTTGAATGCACTAAACATACTGTCTAATCTTTGTACTTGTAACCTTGCTCGTACGATATCTAAAGGATTTGTAATAATTGTGGTGGTAAATCCTCCTAATGTACCAGCAACTGCTTGAATAAACAAATGAGAAACCCATTCTGGAAACAATCTTACAAGCTCCTCTATTAACAGAAAAAACAAAGTTATCTTTTATCTTAATTTTCATGTTTTTGTTTTAAAGCAATTACCTTGGTACGATGTATATAATCCCCACCAAAGAGCACTATTAGGAACATAAGCGCATAAAGATGCACAATATCCTCTATAAAAACCTCTATATCCATCTCTTTGATAAATTGATTTGATAATATCTATTGAAATCTGTGCACGAGATTTTCCTGGTTCAAGAATTAAACCCAATGGATTCATACCCATCTATAAATTACATATTATATATAATAAAAAGTTCTTTTATATATATATATATATTTACCTTATCTATATATTTTCCTTGTTTATTGTTGATCCCAAGAACCATTAAGTGCTGACTTAAAATATCAAAAGGGACTACTATTGTTTGGCCTACCAAACTAGCAGCTCCACCAGCAATTAATGATTTGACTCTGGAGTCTATATTACCGATAACATCATTTTGTCTAAGTATGTAACGTACACCTTCATATGTAGATACATAAAAAACACCAGATACAATTTGTATAGAACTTATCCAAAATCCTCGATATAATCCACTTATACCTTCAATTTTATAAATCTTTTTACAAGCATCTATCATTCCTGAAAAAAAAAAAAAATATTTAATATCTTAATTTTTTTAAATTTTATTTTATTTCAAAACTTACCATTGTACATATAATTGTGCCTTTGAACTTGTAAACGAGTTTTAATTACTGTTAAGGGATATAAACAACAGCGTACAGAAAATGATGAAAGCATGCTCAATGGAAAAAACTTTGTCTTGTCCATCATATCCCATTCTATAGTGCGAATCAAATGTGGTGTTTCTACTGCAGACATCTTGTAGATTTATGACACGATTAAATCCACTGTAGTTGTACTTATGTAGTAAGGATTGCTGATGCTTTTGTTTAACTTGATGCTGCATATCTCATTGATATTTATTGGGAATTAAAACCCAAACAATTCATGAAACTAATAAAAGAAAAATAATTATATTAATATATTTATTTTATTTTATGTTTCTAAGATTATTCAAGAATAAAAGAAAATAACCTCTCTACAAACATAATTTGTTACAATGTTTTAATAATAGAACAAAGTCATTTTAAATTTGTCATGACTATTTTATATAGTATATATTACCAATAAAAGTTATTACTAGAACAATAGATATAAAATTTATCGATTAATAATACTTAAAATATAAAAATTCTTCTACAACTTACGATGATGTAATACTTGTCACGATAAACTTTTTCCAGTAATAATATCTATTGATAACCACATTATAATAATAAATTCAAAATTTTTCACAAAAAAATCATAAATATAGTATAAAGAAAATCATTTTTGTTACACGAAAAATAGAACACTTTTGGTTCCATTCAATAATATAGAGTCATTGGTTTGCGTAAAGAAATTAAACGCACAAAAGAGAAAGAATGAGAATCAAAGAAAATCTGATCTAAATTTCTGCGCATATATTCTCGAAAATGTATTCAGACAGCAGCGAAATCCATGAATGATTTTGTGAAACATCATTGTATTGAGAGTAAAAAATTCCGAAAGATGCCGCTTACAGTATCTTTGAGTTGATAAATAATAATATCAACAGACGACATTGTAGAATGAACCATAGATAAGATAGACGTGACATCTTAAGGAATTTTAAATTACATATTCTAAAATATACCGATTTCAAAAGAAAAAGAAAAAAAGAAAAGAAAATTTCAACAATCAACTAAATAAATCTAAAAACAAAAAAACATAATTGTTATAAAATCGCGATTGCAACCAATTAACTTATATTATTTACATTATGTACTATGTTATTACATTATGTAATATATAATTGTATTAGATATTAATATTGCATAACTATACAATAATATAATTATATGTCCAATAATAATGATTCTTCAGATCTATTTACATAGTAATTGCTTATGTGAAGGTTGTGGATTGGAGACTCAATCCTATCCATGTTCCATCCATTCTTCTTTATCCATTTTTCTCTAATTTATTTATTTTTAAATAAATAATTCTTTTTCTAATGTACTCAAAAGTTTGCAAAACATTCAAAACAAACTACTACACAAAACAAACAACAGAAAGAATTATAAGGAAAACCGATAATAAAATTAACTTTAACTTTATTTCTTATCAATATTTTTTCATTTTCAAAATTATAAAAATGAAAAATAATTGATAATTGATAATTGAAAAAAACATAGATAATAATAATTGTTAAAAAACATAGATAAAAAAAATAAATAAGCAAACCATCACCCACAAAAAGCATAAAAAAAGCCAAATAAATAAGCCAAATATGTTTTATAAGATATCATGTATTACATTACTTTATGAATTATTCACATTATTTATCTATCTATGAGTTATTTTTAATATTTTGTATTATGCATGCACTTAAAAATATACTTATAAATATTTTTTTACTTTATATTTTATTACAAATAATCCTATTTACATATATTCTTATTTTAATTAAAAAGAATCTATTTAATCTAAAAATTTAAAAATCTTGTCTGAAAATATAAATCAACCTGCCTAATTAAAAATCTAATGATTTTTATGATCCTTAACTTATATCTGAATGTAATAAAAGGAATGTAAAAAGGCAGATATATGAAATGCATTTTTTGAAAATCTGAAATATTTTGAAATAGCATATTTCTCTCCTCCTGAAATTTAAATTCATAAATTTACATTCAATATATTTTAATAAATATCTGAATTTTTGTACAAATAAACTAAATATTTCTTTAAACATTAAAAAACTAAATATTTCTTTGTTATATAAAAATTGAAAGATTTATTTATTGACTCTTCTCTTTTGTTGAAAGTTCCTGAAACAAATTTTATAAAAGAATTATTAAAACAATCAATTATATCAAAAACAGATATAAAACAAATAATTCCAATCATCAAATAAGGAAATCATATATTTGTTAGATGTACATATATATCTTTATTCTAATTGTTTTTTAATTGTAATTTT